ATATATATATATATATATATATATATATATATATATATATATATATAGTGTTATATATAGTGTTATATATTTCTTTACAATATGCGTTTAACATCCTTATTATTATTTTATCTATGTTTGCACGTAAGAATAATAGTGAACACAATAATAATAACTCCTTATGTTTCCATTTTTCACCCCAAAAAATGTCTATAGTGGGTATATATCTAATATGGGGATATATAATTTTATATGCTGCCCGCGGAGTATTTGATGCATTTCCAAAGAGACCATTTAGGTTGGCCACCCGTGGTCTAGATCATAGATGCCCAACAGGCGGCACGCATGCCACAGTGTGGCACGGGGGGATTAACAGTGGCACGTGAAGATTTTGTGAAAAAATAAAAAATATTAATGTCGTCTTTAGATACTTTGTCAAAACTTTATCCCTACTCATACGCTACTGTATACAACAGCTCCGGAAAGAGCACTGCTTGTTATCAGTACAACGATGCAGTAAGACACCTTGGTCTGGGACAAGTCCAATGATTTAAGTTGCCTAAATTTAAGATTACAGGTAAAAGATTCTATTTTTCCTACTCTAGTTGGTTAAATATCTTTCTTTTTTTTTGTGAACAAATTTTGTTTATTTGTCTCGATTTTAAAGAAAAAAGAGTATCACATTTCCCATTAATGCAGGAAATAGTTATCAAAAAAATAATGCTCCAAACTACGATAGATTTAAAGATTTAATAATAATAAAAAATAATTTCTCTAAGCGAGTGAGAAATTTCGGATTTTTTTTCTTGCTCAAAGACATTTTTTTTTATTTATCAATTTTACAGAAATTGATTGAACATATAGGTCTAAAAATTTTTTCAAATAAAAGTGTTAATTTTTTTCAATTTTAGCAGTATTTGCCAATTTTTTAATTTACAAATACCGAATATTATTTATTATTATTACTACGAATATTACTTATTAGATTAGCACTTTTATTTGAAATATCATATTTGAATTTATAAATAATAATTTTTAAAAATTTAATTGAGTTTTTTTTTTTATATTTCATCGTTAAATTTTTGTAATTCGTAAAAAAAAACCTTTATTTTTCTCCTTAATTATTTTATATTTAATTTCTCAAATTCCTTTTGTTATCTTTTAAAATGTTAATTTTTAAAATTCTTACAATTACATAATTTTTTTAGTAAACTATATAGTTTTAATGGAATTTTACAAATATACTGTAGTCTGTACTTGCTCCTCTATTGTGACAAGAAGAATCGAAAAGTAAAATCTCTTATTTAAGATTTATTGCTGGCCTATAAATGTGTCTAAATAAGAATTATCTGTAAGAAATCTATAAATTAAATTAATTTGTGTCTAAATAAATTTAATTCCAGCCACTAGATGGCAGCACAATAAAATTTGCAGTATGTGGAAACGTTTGTTGTTGTTGTTTCTTATCCCACTTGGTTGGCCAAGCCCACGAGCCCATACGTACTCATGATTGAAGGGGAAGGAAGCAGCTTCTGTTGTGATGGAGCACCCGTAGGTAGAAGTCTGACTTTGGCTCCGTGACGCTCTTACAGTCATAGGAGATCGGGACCTACGGTTTAAAGTGGATTCCGAACCACTACAAACATCCATGACACCGCCGGGATTCGAACCCGAAACCTGTGGCACCGAGCGCCAGAGCGCTAGACACTCGGCCGTTCAGGTCCCAAATTTGCGAATGCCAACGGCACGCGGTGTTCCCAGGTGGTCACCCATCCAAGTACTGGCCGCGCCCAATGATGCTTGACTTCGGTGTGGAAACGTACACTTACTATAAACAACAAGAAATGCGAGTAATAGCACATGCAAAATACTTATGTGATTTCGCTATACAATTAACAATGTACATTTCGATTAAATTAATGTACGGGACTGAATATACTTTAAAATAGAATATATAGATGTACTTTATAGAATATACCACAAAACGATACCGAACAACGAGAAGTTAAATGAGGTCTTTTTAATAGCTCTTCAGCGAATAGAGCGTAATGTTAGCGTTCTTCATATTTTTTGATAAAAAACCTAATTCTTAACAACGTTAGCATTCAAAATACATATAATCTTATATTCTTTTGCTATACTATTAACAATGGAAATAATTAAAGAAATAAAAACGAAAAAGGAAACACGCCGAAAAGGAATTGACATCTCAGAATCAAATTACTAAATTATACTTTTAAAAGTGTCGTTTGAAACTTCCAAAACTGCTAAAATCTTCTGATCGTATGTGTAAAAAGATGTTGTATTCTGACCACAACATTTTATAGTAAACTTTTTTTTTCTTGTTTAATAAATTAATGTAACATCCTTAAATAAAGTTTTAAATTAAATCCATTTATTAAAGACTTACAAAATTGACGTTTGTATGGATTATATATATATCTAATGAATGGCATTGCAGTTTGTTGACACACCGAAGAGCAAATTTTTCTTTATGTGTATTACTTCTTTAATTAAAATAAATAAACGTAAAATTAGTGTTTTTTTAAAAAAAATTTTTTCCAGAAAAACAATATTATTTTACTGCTGGACAATGTTTAATTTATTTCATAAGCATTGTTTAGGTTATAACCATGAATGGGGAATACTTCCACCTAAAATTACAATCTGTGAATACATCCTGTAATTTTTATGTTGGTAATTTCAAAATTATTCGGCAGGGGATTGTCCGAGACTTTTTCCGGAACACTCTAACTGATAATTTCCGTGAAGGCAACTCATCTAAAACCTGGTTGAACTTTATTCTAAACATCCCTGATCAGCCCAGGCCAAAAGCAGTTGCCCTTTTCAGACTCCTGACGGGCCATGATTGTATGGCCAATCATCTTTACCAAATGAGAATATTTGCAAGCCCAAAAGGCATGCTCTGCAATCTGGGAGAGGGCATAGATTCATCCCACCTTCCTGTCTGCCCTGCACTTGTTTCCTCTACTGTGTAGGGTCGTTACTGGGAGGCTAGGGCCCTTATGGGCTAAACATGTCACTATGGGATTTCCTTCGATTCTCGTTATTGTTTTCATATTCCTTGTGTTCTTTTTATTATATTGCTTATTGTGCCTGCTATTGGAAATAAAAAAAAAATTCAAAATTACACTCATAATTTTTGTTCCATTTTAATCCTTCTGTTATTTAGCTTCTATCGTTTAAATTTTTGCTTATGAGAAAATAAAATCTAAGAAGCATCCTTGAAAATTTTTAGTCTAAATTGTTTTTTAAAGTGTATATATTTTGATAGTTTGCATTAAGAAAATTAGTTTCAAAAATTTTCAAAATTCTATTTTTAAAAATTTTTTTTAAAATCTAAAAAAAAAAAAAAAAAGGTGTATGAGTCCGAGACTATAAAACTATGTTTTAAGGAAATGTCGAACTTGACTTGACTTTATGTCAAGTCAAGTTCAATAATTTATCAATGAATGTTAATAGTCAATAATTTATCTATGTATATTAAAAGGCAAGACATGTGTGTGCGTTTCTTAGTACTTAAAAGCTGTGAAAATATAGAGTTTGATTTTCAACTAGATGTACTATTTTTGTTATCTGGATCACTTTTGGGCATTATTGCTGTGAACATTGAAGCAAATATTAAGCATTTACTAAGACAATGTCAAATCACACATCAAATTCCTTATATAACTTTCATTACTATTATTTTTTGATTACATTGGTCATATATTTAAATGAAATAAAACATATTATTATTACAAACACATTCTTTTTATCTGTGTGGGGGGGGGATGCATGAAAGGTACAAAGATAAATTATTTATCAGACTAAATAAATGATCCTTCAGTTGAAAGAAAAAATTTTTGAATTGATAATTTTGATCAATGATATATTTTGGCCGCAAACTAAACTATATAGTATTGTATAAAAAGAAAAAAAAAATGAAATTATGACATCGGGAGAATTTTGAAAAGTAAATTGTAACTTTTTCCCCTTACATCTTAGTAAATCTGTTTGTGTAAACTACCCGAACTCGAACCCGAAACCTGTGGTATCGAGAGCCGTATTGTATGTATATATATATACATACAATATATATATGTATATATATATATATATATATATATATATTGTTGTTTTGATATACATATAACAAAGCAGATACATAAATATAACTAAAATTAATATTTTATTTTATAATTTACTATTAGATTAGATATTATGATCAATTAATAGAACATGATTCCTATTACTTTTCAAATTTCTACAATAAATATTTTTATTTGCATATGATATTTACCATAGGTTATATAATATAGGTTATTTATAGGTTTGCTTACGATGAAAATTGCAAAGAAATTCAGCTTTAATTTTAAAAGATTTGTAAAATGCTTATATAAATTAAATAAATCCAAGTGTGCGAAAGCACAGGAAGCATCTCGTAACCTCATATACATTCTTAAAAGCTTTTATTATCTCCTTTATGATAACTGTGATCTATTACTATTCTGAAAAGTTTGTGTCCTGAATGGAATTTAAAGTCCATATCTTGAGAAATTATTTTCACTACTATCACTATAATTACCAGCATTCGGAAGCTTTCTTTCAAAGCTTCTACTAGTAATAATAATAGATTGTCCGTCAGATAATCAGGTTATGCAAGAATAGAACCAGGACTCTTCAAAATGACATACGTTCTTTCTGAAAGTAGGGCACTCTGTTGGACTGAACGCAGTCTCAGGGCCAATTTATTTGTAGATTTAATAAGTTTAGTTGCAGATGTCCAAGGGCATAAATGGACCTAACATGTGTATAGAAGTTTCTTGTTATACCTAAATGAGTACGTTTCAAACGTTTAAAGAAAAAATTGCCTGAAATAGCAAAAATCTGAAAGACTTTGATTTTATTCCTTTGAATGAAGTCTGCCAATACATTAGTTATCCTTTTCCTTATATGTATCATAGCATAAAATTTAATTACACGACTTGTTCAAATTTAAAAAAAAAAAAAAAAAAAAAAAAAAAAGACAGACAAGTAAGTGCTGCTCATGAAACATAAAAAAATTATTTTCAAAGTAAATTAGTAAACGTGAGCATGAGTTGGACATTTAAATTTCATCAAATCTCAGACATTTTTTTTTGTTAGTTAAAGCAAGAAACATTTTTAAACACAATCTTCCCTCAAAAGGAAAAAGGTACCATATGGAGAAATTAGCAGAATGAGACAAAAATGAACAGTTTTTATGTATACTAGATATTGTTATAAATGTTTAGATAGACCTTTAATATTAAGAGGATATAAAGAGTAATTGTAGTCATCACTGAAATTTTTTTGACGTAAATTGTTTTTTTTTAATATCAAATGTTTCAGAAAAAAAAAAAAATTGCATACTCAAAGTTTCTTATGGTCATAGTTAGTGTTTTATGGTCCACTTAATATATTAAATTTTATAACTGTCTACAGAAACCCTATTAATCTTTCAAGTATATTTAATTTTAGAGATGAATAAATTAACATTTTTGGAAAATAGATAATTTTTGGAATGTGCCACACCCAAATTTTGGAGCTTGTTATTCCCTATACACATGGCAGCACATGATATTCCTTCTACACATGAAACCATATACACAAACACAGTCATTCCATATACACATGAGTTTCAATACATTTATGAACTACTTTAAATATCTTATTGATCAATGTGTAGTTCAGAGGTTTACATTTAATGTCAGAAACGAAAATTTTTAATAATTTATTGTACTGTATTTGATTTCATATGTCACATATTACTGATACTAATTTAAAAAAAAAATATTCTCAATAATTAAAAAGCAATAAATAGTTAAGAAGAATTAATGAGCGTACATTTTGCATTAATTGGCTATTCACGGCATGCGAATTACGCGTACGAAGTACAACGTTAATAATTATATCAATAATTATTATCATCATAAATTAATGAGCTTCCCTAATAATTAAAAAAAAATAACAACTAATGATAATTCCTAAATTGTAACTTCGATATTAATTGCGGATGATCCATCACGCATTGCATAACACATCCAAGATCTCTATGTACTGATCAAAATGAGTACGTTATTCTGTTATTTAAATCTTTGAATTTTAGTTTATTAATTTATTTTAGCGCCAAGTGAAAGTGATATTAGGGTGAAGCGCAAAAACACGAGAAAAGCGAAGACTGCTCATTTCCGCAACGCTTTAAAGTTACGTTGTTCCATGTTGTATTGTAAAACATTCGATGGTCAGATCCCTATCTGTCCGTCATTGATCTAATAAAAAATTTATTCTGCTCACAGGCCATCACTAAAATGCTAATTAACAACAGTAGTAGAGCGTACTACTGCTACATAATTTTCATGAAAATCGTGGATGAAATTTTTAAATCTTCTAATATGCCGGAGGGTCAACGCCGTGAAGTAATATAGATTTTAAGAAAGATTTTCTAAGGATGTGATAAACGATTTATCTCAACAGATGGTTTTATTTGCAACTGATTTGTGAAGGTCTTTATTAATTTGACAACTGTGTACTTCGTTGTCATGGCTACGAGAAGAAATCTAACTCCTTAGTATGCGTTGCAAATGTTTTATGTCAAAATAATCTCAAAGATTGGGGGCGTGTGAGAATAATTTAAAGCCCTTACTTTCCTTGTAATGGAAAGCCTCAGGAGTTTTTCGTTTTTCGTTAACAATGGGAAAGCTGAAAGACTGAAATTCACAGTTTTCATATTCGTTGCATAGTCCAAACGTATGTAATGTGACTGTAAATGAAATTTGGAATGATATATTA